TCAGTCATTTTGAGCCAACAGCATTTTCTAGCTAAGGCGTTCCGAGTCGTCTTTACCTAAATCGGAATAATCATTTCAAGCAAACAGTAGTTTCTAGTTAAGTCGTCTTCAAGGTAAGTCGTTTCGAGAAAACGTCGAGCTCACAGTCGCCATGAGCGAACGTCGAGCTAACAGTCTTTCAACCCAACCGTCGTTAAACCAAAATAGTTTTGAGCCAACAATCGTTTCAGCTAACATCCGGCTCACAGTCGTTTCGAGCTCACAGTCGTTTCAAGCTAACATCAAACTAACAGTCGTTCAGAGCGAACAGTCATTTTAAACCAAGTAACCTTTAGTTAAAGTCACTATGAGCTCAGCTGCATTAGTTGTTTCACATTACAGCCTTTTGCATTAAAGTAGTTTCAAGCTATCAGCCGCTTGAGCTCCCAGTCACTTCGACCTCTCAGTCGCTTCGAGCTCACATCGAGCGTACAGTCGCTTCGAGCTCACATCAAGCATGCAGTCGTTTCGAGCAAACATTGAGCTAACAGTCGTTCCAACGAACAAGTCATTGTAAACCAAAGTTGTTTCGAGCTCAGTCGCTTCGAACTTGCTCACTTCAAGCTCACATTGAGGTAACGTCGTTTCGAGCTTAGGTCAAGCTAACAGTCGTCTTTAACCGAAGTCAATCCAAGCTAAGTCACTCATGTCGCGTTAAGTCGTTTAGCGCTAAAATCTCTTCGAACGCTCAGTTGCTTCGAGCTCACATCGAGCATAGTATATATAGAGCTATCACCGAGCCAGCAGTCATTTCATTCAATCCAAATCATTCGAGTGAACAGTCTTTCAAGCTAGCAAGTGTTTCAAAATAAGCGTTCGAGCAAAGTAATTTCGAGCTTAAAATAGTTTTGAGCGACTTGTTACAAATTAGAAGGGGTTTCCGGCACCAGGATGCCAAAGCCTACTGCTGCTCACTCCCAGTCCACGGTTTGGGGGTTCTATAAGGACAGATGGTTTGCAGCGGAATGGTCGCCAAAACCTTAACATTAACAGCATAGCTCTCTCTTGTGCTAGAGGCCAGCTTGAAGAGCCGCCACGTCACAACTAGTACAACGTAATCGCATCACCCAGTCGTCCCGAACCTTATGTTCACTACGTTCGCTACGTTCACACCCGCTCAGGTTTCACCTCCCTGCATCTCCTCTCATCTCAACCTTCAGCGTCATACTCGCAATTCAGACTCATTCCCCAAACAACACCACGTTCTACCAAAGAAACCATATAATTGGGCCTGCTTACACCCGTCTTTTCTCTGGAGTCCTATGACCCTGAACCCTTGCAAGACCCTCGTGAACCATTGCAACTCTGGGAACCCAGAGTAAAACACGCCAGATCGTCTCCAAGTTGGTTCCAGTGGCCTCTCGATTCCCAGTGCCACCGCCACTCCCACCAAGCACTCTCTCGTCATGCTTTCTCCCATCCATTGTCCCGGTCAGTCCTTCAGTATCAGAGCTACCCTTTCAGCGTCCGATGTCATTCCCGAGCACCCAATACATATCACGCACCGCTGATCCTCCCAAACGTACCATTATCACACTCATTCAAATCTCAAAGACCTCAGATCAGCTAATGCTCTCACGTAATCAGAAGCTTTTGGGGGTCCATCGTGCCCGGGTGCTACGGCGGATTTCCCTATCGTAGCTTCCCCACAATGCCTCGAATGTCAGTAACTGCAAGCCTCGTACATCTTTCTGTTTCAATTATCAATAAATCACTTAATCGTACCTGTTGATTGTGTGGTCTTTGCAAGTGAAGTGGTGCCAATTAGCAGAGTTTCAGGAGCGGGACCGCACATCAACCACGTCATCGCAGCATTTCCATAAATACCCACATGCCCTAACTCTTCTTCGCTCTCGTATCCTGCATCCCTCCCCCCCACCCCTTTCTCTGTCCTGCCTCCTGATCTCCTTCTTCCTCTCCATAGGGTTATAAGGGGGTCCGTCGTGACTACGGCGGATTTCCCTATCGTAGCTTTCCCACAACGCCTCGAATGTCTATTCAGCAACTACAAGCCACGTACATCTTTCTGTTTCAATCATCAATAAATCACTTAATCGTACCTGTTGATTGTGTGGTCCTTGCAAGTGAAAGTGCTGTCATACAATGGAAGTTGTTTAGGTTTTGTTAACTAAAGCAAAGCTGCCTGGCTGTGCTGAGGATGCTGCAAAGTGATTTCTCATTTTTAGTTCCAGAGTTGACTAAGTCAATGAAAACAATGATTTATTCACCTTCACGTTTTTCACCCAGACTTTATACACCACAACACAACACATGTTTGAAATCCAGCCAGTGATGGTAATTTCATCTACAAACTTACCAACAGAGTACTCTCCATGTCTGGGGTTGTAGTCGTTGGTGTGTAGAACCACACAGCCCTGGGAGGATCCTGTGTTGAGCACTAGTGAGGAGAAGGTGTGGCAAATCTGAAGTTATATTGTTTTGCAGTTGTAATGCGCTGCCTTAAAAACATGTTTCCTGCTTATAAACAGCGTGGCTGTGATTGCAGCCACAATGCTACAATGTGGTGATAGTTTAAATATGGACATGTTTAGCATTTAGAAATAAATACTCAGTATAAACCAATACTATTACTGTTTAGATGTGGCACTAATTTCCAAATCTCTTTTACCAAACTTTGTTAGACAGCTAGCTAACATGACACGTAGTAGGAAACGGCAGCTACTAGCAATTATAATGCAAACCCGGACTACACAAAGTGTAGGCAGCACTGGTTAAAAGCAAAAGCCTCATTCTGGGTGTTACATCAATAATGTCAGCATGTATGACAATCCTGCTGTTTATAATCAAAATATAGTAGACATTTACAATACATACATTTTTTTAGCTGATGCTTTTATCCAAAGCGACTTACAATTGCTATACATATATCAGAGGTCGCCTCTGGAGCAACTCATCGTTTCACAAGTCCTCCATTTTTGCCCGTCCGCACTAAAACGCTTCCCGGACTTTTAAAACGAAAAAGAGGATCGGCAGTGTTTTCAAAGTTCTTCTTTTTAAGTTCTTCCTTTTCGCAGTTTCAGTCTGGACGTGAGGTGCAAACGTTGCAAAAGGTCTCCGTTTTAAAACAAAAACACAGTAGTGTGGATGGGGCCTAAGTGTTTTGCTCAGGGATATGTTATTTGTTGTTTGTATGTAATTGACAGGGATTTAGCTTAACCCATATCAAACTGTGTTCAGCCATAAACATGCAGTAACTGTATGAGCTCTTAAATCATCAGATTCTGTGCAAAACTATCCACCAGCTCATTAAAGTCCAGGTCTCTGACCTGGGGCCAGTTTCACAAAGACAGACTGGTCGGCAGCGTCAGGCCAGTCTTCATTTTTGCTCTCAGAGTAATTAGTCTAATGCAAGTTAGACAAAGAGCCACGTTTCCATGATAACAGAGAAACCTGCTGACCAGTGGCATCAATCAGGAAGAAATGGCTCATCATTTGTGGCGTGTTGTGAGGCAAGCAATGACAAGGAAGAAGCTTTTTAAAGACCACAGTAACAACTTGGAAAAATGCAGCAGTGAAGAAACTGTCAGTCACTCCCAGGGAAACTGTCCTGAGTCTGTCTTTGATGCAACTGTCGACTATGGGGTCAATTCTATTTACTGTGGATCCATTTCCCCCAGAATATTAAATTTTTTTGTATTGATGCACTACCAGTAAAATATTCATGTAAATGTCCAGTTCCACCAGAAGGCAAACATTTTCTGCTGGAGCAAAGAGAACTGAGAGCTTGACATGGTTGCTAGGCCAGACATGTGTTTTAGTTTGAAAATGGCTCAATGTAGCTCAGCTTTGTGCAAAGGATACATTTAGACATCTATCTGTAGTCTTACTATTAGATCTAAGCCACAGTCAGAATCTTTGTGAAATTAGGCTTGCTAAATCCTAATGGCTTTTGCACTCTGAGCTTACAGAAAGGTTTCCTTCTTGGGAAATTAAACATTTTCCAACCATTACTGTTGTTATTCATGCAGTTTAAGGAACAAAAATAACTCACCCCATAAACTCTCCTTCACTTGTTCTACACCCCTGTGTGCGTGTGCATCTCATGATGATGTCGCTTGGTGGAAAAGTCACTGCTGTTGGTTGGGCTGGATTTTTATCACTGAGATCTGGATGCACTTTGTGTGTGTGTGTTTTGATTACATTTGTGTGCGTGTCTGTGCATGTATTGTCCGTGTGTGTGGGATGTTCTTGATTGAACCCAGGTAGCCATCTGACACACTGTGTGGGTATTGCAGCAATCAGGGTATTCTGACAATGCGTGGGGATCCCTCAGAGGATAATATATCCTGATAGGTTGCTGGGACCAGAAAATACCAGAAGGGGTTTTGGTGTCTTGCTGTAATTTAACCCACAATACACATCTCTAAACCTTAACAGTAATGAGCAGAAATACCCACACATATGCACAAATCCATTTCAATAAAGGAAATGTGGAGACCCCATGACACCAGTCTCTGCAGCACACATACCAGAGAAAAGGAAGAAAGTGCAGGGGACCGATAACTAACTAGCAGGGCTGGCTGTGGATGTGTAGCCTACCGAGGGAGAGAGAGTATATAGATCAGATACTTTCCTGCTGCTTTCTGCCTCATTATCAGATGACACAGAAGGCTGTCTTTGGTCAAGCTGCACAAAAAGATCCATCACAGCTACACGACACACTGCTGCGTGTTTAATGTAGGCAGGTATTGAGGAATGTTCCCACTCAGCTTTTTTGATTTATGTTACAGTTATGTTCATTTCTGTTTGTCGTTTGTATTACATGGCTATATGTATATAACCATGTAATGTAAATAGTGCATTTTTTGAATTTGAATTGATTGTTTTGATGCATGTACTGTCTTTATGCATTGATGGATTGGATGACTGATTGGATATTTACTGGTGGATATCTCTCTCTCTCTCTCTCTCTCTCTCTCTCTGTCTCCTTCTTCTCCCAGAGATTGCTCCTTAGCACCATGAACAAGATGAAGAACTTTAAGAGGCGTTTCTCTCTTTCTGTTCCTCGCACTGAGACCATTGAGGAGAATGAGTTTACTGAGCAGATCAACCAGCTCAACATACAGCACACTCAGGGTAAGAACCCCTATTTCCCCGTTCAGCCATGGGGAATCTGTTAATAACCTTAAAGATCAAAGTTTTAAAAAATTCTTCCCAGATTATCACTAGAAATGAAACTGTTTTGAGTTTCAAAACCAACACTAGAGCCAGGCAGAATGTTGATATCGGACAGTTCTTTAAAACCCAATAACATATTCAGTGACATTTTCAAACACAAAGCTGCACTCATTAATATTCTATATTAAGAACTGAAGGTAAAGTAAATATCTGTCACTCATCGTGACAAACCCACAGAGAATTGTCACTCAATGCTGTAGTTCACTGAGCTTTAAAGGAGACCTATTATACTGCTTTTCCATATATATAGTCCTATATTGTAATTCTGTGACTCCTATATGGCAGCTTTGCCAAAATTATTCTCTGTCTTAGGGATGAAACGATATGAAAATTTCATATCACGATTATAGTGACGAAAATTATCACGGTTATCAGTATTATCACGGTATTGCAAAAATGTGACAAAAAAATAATAAAATGTACTGATACACACACTGAAACCATTTCAACAAGTTTTATATTGAAAACTACAAATACAATTGGCATTTTTTTTGCATAAAAAATAAAATAACAGCAAATACCTTTTGTAAACATATGAAAATCATCTTAGTGTGCATTATCAAGATTTTATATTTTATACCCTGTGGACAATTACATGAGAACAAATAAGTCTTTAGAAGACAGTGATAGTAACTGCAATGAGCCCAAAAACTGACATAAATACAGAGGAGTCTGTATTCTGCTGATTGGTTGACTGAACAGCGTGGATCATGTGCAGTGGACCAATAGACTCTGCCGACACGACGCACACAGCAGCAGAACAACGTGTAGCCTTTTTACAAGAGCAGCAACACTGAGAGCTTCAGTTTACACGCTGTTAGCAAGTCAGAGAGACAAACCAAAGCTAAAAGTTAACTCACCCTGCGTTCACTATAAGTTCATTTTCTTCAATCAAGTTTCCCTCAGCACTCTCATAAAAACTAAAATTCAACCGGACTTCAGATTGACTGAAAAATCTCCGCAGCGTTGTCATTGACCCAAACAAACCCACATTGCTTTCTGCGCATGTTAGCCTGCTTCTGGGAGACGCTGGACAGTGTTGGCCGTGAGATTATAACAGCGCAGTTAACCATACCTGGTTATCATGGTAATTAAAATGTGTATGGTAATAATAACCGTCGGGAATTTTACCATGGTTTACCGTTAAACCACTAATCGTTTCATCCCTACTCTGTCTTATACTGACTCTTCATGTAGGCCTTCATTCAGCCTGTCTGAAACAAGCTATAGATGCTCCTGTCTCTTTAAAGCCCCCCCTCTCAAAGCCCACTGTCTTCTTATTGGCCAAGACCTGAAGCATGTTACCAGGCTGTCGCTGGGCGGAACAGGCAAACTGAGCGTTGCTGTGCCGTTGCTGTGCGGAGCACATGACCATATATGGAACAACGGCTCCGTCTAGCTCCATATTACGGAGCCATTGGTAGAAAAAGCTGTTCAAAACAGAGTGTTGAGAACAGGAGGGAATCTGAGGATTTTGCTCACTGGGATTTGTTTTAAATACTTTAACCTCATTATTTGAAGCTTTGGCCATGTTTAACGTGAACATCCAACATTAACATTGTAGATAAGTCATAAAATGTGGAAAAGCATAATAGGTCTCCTTTAAACTGCGTTGCTTGTAGGTCTGAGATGACAGAAAAGATCCATCTTCAGCATAAAAGCCTGTCATGCTAGTACACACTCTTCCAAAACCCCACTTCAAAACCTTGGCATTGGACTTCAATTGTTAGCTGCAATGCTGTCCAAACATAATCTAAGGGATACTGGGCTGTACAGTATCCTTGGAAATTTGGGATACTGGAACAAAATCAGGGAGAGTAACTTTAAAGAATCATTTGCACAAACGTGAATTACTGTTATGTAACTGTCAAGCGTGGTGGTTCTGTGGGTTGCCAGACTACTATATTTTTTGTAACTGCACTCATATCCCAAGGATTAGAGTTTTGACAGGGTAATTGTATAACCACTAAACCATTGGTTAATTAAGCATGATCAAAGTCCTGAACCCTGAGCTCTACTTCCTTGTGTCTTTTGGTCCCTGTGTGAATGAACAGCTCGTGTCTAATTATAGAGCACAAACTGCAGTCTCGTTGTGGGTGTTAATACCAAATACAAAAGCCGTCCTTCCTTCCGTGTCTGTAGCGGACCCTCACAGATTAACTGGGATTTTTCCAGCTATGACTGGTACCACCACCGGCACTGAGCCACGGAGGATCAGCAGGCTTCTAAGGAAAATGAGGGTTACGGTGGGATAAGTAGGGGTAGGTGATGCAAAGGAACTGAATGCATTCAGAATTAGGTTTTCGAGTGTCTCTTATGTAGAGATTTACTGTGAGTACAAAGACATGGAATAACAACGAACTGGGTGAAGACATTAGATCACAGAGCTACCAGGATGGTCAACACTTTCATCTTACACAATATCACCACTGTGCATTGCTGTTTATAGCTATTTGCTTTCAGGTCAGGAACTAAGCATAGATATGATTCCATATATTTAGATTAAATGCAAAAAAGCCACTAAAAAATGTGAAGTCAATAGAAGAAGAGAATGGAATCATGCAGGATCCACGGTCACTCTTGCTTGGATGTTACCACTTATGTCATCTAATCAAAATCAGGAACTAAAGCTTCTGCCTGCTGTGTAGGCATAGAGCTCAGTTACTGTGTTAGTGAGATTGCTGTGCAGCTGCCTGACAGAGAAGCAGCTGGATATGTAGTTTAACCCCCCAGAGTACATGTGTCTGCATCGCTGTCTGATCCTGAAGGTCAGGAAAGAGGTAAGCAGACAAAGACAGACAGGGAGAGAGACACAAAGAGAGACCCGAACCCAGCAGCCGTCTGATGTTTACTCTCCTCTCTAATCTTTCCCGTTCATCTCTCTCTTCGATCTTGCTCTCTCTCCTATATGATGGATTATATCATGGTCCCACTTTGCAAGGATATAATCACACCCCCAAAATATTTCTGTTGCATGCGTGGTTTATTATTGGATACAGTTAATATTAAGGGTAATATAGTGTATGTTTAAAGTACACTACAAAGACACAAATTTGCTAATTAGCTTGAATACAGAGAGCTGATTATCTGATCTTAGTGTAAAGACTGAAAGTAGGGGGATACTGCTGGCATTGCTCTGATTTCAAAAATGTGCCTTAAAGCTCACTAATCAAAGATTTATTTGGTGTCTTGAATACGTACATGATACGAAATGCAAAAATAACAATGGAAGTATTTCTTTAAATATCTCAAATTTTCTTTTTGTGATTCTCTGATATTGTTTCTCACACTTTAAAACAACAGCAAGTCAATCAGTCTCAGATCACTGAGCACTATGAACTCATTAGCATCCCCAAAGGCTGCATACACACACACAAATACACCCCTGAGATGCAGTAACACCTTAACAACAAACACAGTGTCCGTGCTGCTAGGCTAGTCAAATGTTATAGATTTTTTTAACAATACAAACACAGGTATATTCTCAAAGGTTATAGTAAGTATGTATGTATGTGTGTGTGTCAGTGTCCTTAGGGGTAGCCAGGATTTACTCCCTGACTAAGCACTAATATTTCACATTAGGCAGAATCCCCTTGTTCACTTTTCATATATTAGTGCATTTAAAGCTGCTTTGCTGAGCTCCCATACGAACGTGCTACTGTAATGTTGACAGTAATCACATAAGCCTCCATGACAGATCAGAGCTCTTATGAGAGCTTCTTCTTGATCAGAGTTGAAAACCAATTGTCTCTGCAGAGAATGTGCTGCACGTAACACATCCTGATTAAAGGACTAACAAATAAAACAGTACTCTGTGACAGTGAGTTGTTGAACCAGTATACGTTCATTTTGTTGTTGTGTTGTTTCTTTCAGTGAGTGATTCCTGTTTGCGCTGTGTTACTTACCTCTCCTCTCATTTCAGATCACCTCACTTCCTGCCCCTTCCTAGTTATGTAATTTTCTGCCCCGCCTGCATTAGTTTCATTATGTTCCCTATTAAACTCCCTAGATTATTTTAGCCATCCCTGCCTTCGTGCCAGATCGTATAGTATTTCTTGACTGGGTCTCTGCAAGTGTTATTCCAGTTGTTATAGCAGCATGTTAGCATTGTCCAAACCCGGTTCTTATGAAATAACCTGTACTGACTGCACTCCTCTGCATAACGTTGATCAAATTAAATATCTTGGTGTATGGCTCATTCAAATCACACATTGCTCATGTCTTGCGCAAAGTCAACTTTTGAATCAAAGACATAGTATCTGCTTGACACATAGTGTTCGTAAGAATTTTGTCTCTCAACTTATACTCCTGATTTTTGAATATTGTGATGTTGTCTATCCAGATGCTGTAAGACCAGACCAGGTCTGGCTTAATGCAGCATATAACAGACTGCAGATTTGTCCATGGTTGTCTTTTTCTCACTCAACACTGTTTGCACTTTAATGGCCATCTCTAAATGTAAGACATACTCTCTGGCTTCACCTTATATTCAAGTGTATTCATTTTAATTATCCTCCTTATTTATAACAATACATTGTTCCCTTTACTTCAACTGATTTTAGTTAGGCATTCTGCTGAGCTTTGCTTCTCTGTCCCTCGTGCTAGAAAACAACTGGCAAAACACCTTTTCTGTTTAAAGCAGCAAATTGGAATCATTTATCTGTTGATATTAGATCCATATCATCACTTGGGATGTTTAAAGGGGCATTATGGAGTTTTCAGCGGCCACTAGCGGTGCGGTTATAAGATTGCAACCAGGTGTGTGTGTCACTCAGGATGATGGGGGAGGGTGGGGCTGGGCTCTTCCTGAAGTCCACGACCATCTCCACTTCCGAGCGTTGAGCTCCAGACTGTTCTGCCTGCACCAGGTCACCACATGGTCAATCCCCCACCTGTAG